TAAAGTTATTTTTATTTAAGTTTCCTAAAGGATTCACAACGTGCAAGTATAAAAGCAATGACAAATTTCACATTGTCTATTGTCTTTATATTGTCTCTTTTAACTTGTGTAGCAAATGTGGTGAATTGGTAAGTTTGAGTTCTGTAAATAAAATTGTTAATAGGAATCAAATTTCAGCAACTGAAAATATTTGAAAACTGAAAAAAAGAAAACAGTGATGTTTAGTTAGTGCTTGTCCAATGACATTTTGACTGCCAGAGTCTATTTTGTGCGCACAGTGAGGATAAGTCATAACAGGTTATGTCAGCAGTGTGGATGTGCTTTGTGACCAAAATGATTATAATTATAAAATAATTATTACATATTCTTCCTTGTCTTCAAGGAAGTCCTTTACTTCAACATTTTGAATCTACTTGGATAAAATGACAATTCAGTCAAAATGATTCTTCCTCTAATTGGAAAAATCATTCTTTTAAGCCGTTTCAGAGCAAATGTATAAATATCGAGATCTATTTTCTGTATTGTTAAATAGCTGAAAAATATTGGGTTATAATTTAACTATCACTCGGCCCTAGTGTGTAGTTAGGAAATGGATGAGTTGCTCTGTACTTCTGAAAAGTTTTGAATTGACCTTTTCTTTTCTTTTCTTTTCTTTTCTTTTCTCAGAGTCTATTTTGTGCGCACAGTGAGGATAAGTCATAACAGGTTATGTCAGCAGTGTGGATGTGCTTTGTGACCAAAATGATTATAATTATAAAATAATTATTACATATTCTTCCTTGTCTTCAAGGAAGTCCTTTACTTCAACATTTTGAATCTACTTGGATAAAATGACAATTCAGTCAAAATGATTCTTCCTCTAATTGGAAAAATCATTCTTTTAAGCCGTTTCAGAGCAAATGTATAAATATCGAGATCTATTTTCTGTATTGTTAAATAGCTGAAAAATATTGGGTTATAATTTAACTATCACTCGGCCCTAGTGTGTAGTTAGGAAATGGATGAGTTGCTCTGTACTTCTGAAAAGTTTTGAATTGACCTTTTCTTTTCTTTTCTTTTCTTTTCTTTTCTTTTCTTTTCTTTTCTTTTCTTTTCTTTTCTTTTCTTTTCTTTTCTTTTCTTTTCTTTTCTTTTCTTTTCTTTTCTTTTCTTTTCTTTTCTTTTCTTTTCTTTTCTTTTCTTTTCTTTTCTTTTCTTTTCTTTTCTTTTCTTTTCTTTTCTTTTCTTTTCTTTTCTTTTCTTTTCTTTTCTTTTCTTTTCTCCTCCCCACAATACACTGTTCATTTTTTTTTTATCCACCAAATACTCTTCCTCTCTCATTCTCTTTTTCAAATCGTCGCACAATTTACAGACGGTTCCGCCGGGCCATGGTCTATCCTTTCAGTCAGATGCTAATTAGGGGAAAGAAATGTCTCCGTCTCTCTCGCTCGCAGACGAAGGGATGTGCAGGTTGAGTGAGAAAGGGGAGAGAGGAGCGCAAGACAGTAAAAAATGGAGAGAGGAATGAGAGATGAAAGGGTGATGAGGTCGCTTCAGATTGAGAAAAGAGAGGATAATACTTGTATTTTTTTCTTTAAAGTTGAGCTAAAATCAAAGGTCCCCCAGTCAGCGTGTCTGGTAAATGTCCAACTCTTCATAACTTTCTGATCTGACCACAGAAAATCTTGCTGTTCTGTGAAGTAAATTAAAAAGTTACCTATAAGTGACGTATTTTAATAAAGATGTTTCTACCTAGCTCATGACCGTGAGGCCCTTTGACCATGTGTTCTTTAAACATTTATAAATGTCATTCATGGAGCGAGAAATTTGCTTTTCTGCTTTAATTGGTTATCAGTCACGAGCTTCCCTTGGACTGTTTTTATATCCATTAATTAGCCTTATTAATGACTTACTGTACTGTTAGATAAGTGGCTAGTTTGGTGTTTCTGGTCAGTTCATTAATGGCTAGGGTGGATCCAGCTAACAATTAAAGTGCCTTAATTAGCAGCAGCAAGAGGAAAAATAAGGATTAGTCCTGAGGTTCTGTTTTATTTATTTATTTTTGGTCTGAAGAAAAAAGATTGAAAAGGTTTAAGGTTCAGAGGTTTGAGGGGAAATGAACAAGAGAGCCAATAGAATGATGAATGTGCTTTTCTCCTGGAAAAGAGAGGGAGGGCTTTTTTCACACAAGGGGAAAATAAGAAATAGTTTTTTCCTCCAGCATTATAAACACGTAGCTTTGACGGATTTAAACTCGCTGTAGTTGCTGATGGTGCTTCTGAATCTGGCTTTTACTCTGACACCAGTGGCAAATGTAGATGTATCAACCAAACGGAGATCAAACAGTACACAAGATGTGGTGGTTTGTTTGATTCTGCATATTTTAGTGGTTCGTACATACCTTTTTTTTGCCATTGTACAAAATCGGCACAGCAAGTGTTGGGGTTTTTTTTTTTTTTTTTTGGTCTGTATGTAGAACAGTATGGAATTGTTTTTTCACTCACCTATGGCTTTAAAACACAATTTATTCATTTATTAATAAACATCAATGTAAATATACCATTTTTATTAAAAGAATGTTTTTTTAATTAGTTTATAATTAATTAATTAAATAATAAATATATTATTTATTTATATCCGTGAACTACTGCTGACAATTTAATACTACTACTACATGTAATATGTGTTTTAATTAATTTTTTTTAATTTGAACAAATAATTTCAATTTGTTAATGGTGAATCAGTTATCTGGTCTTTTCACTCATCATGTACTTTTATTAATACAATAATTAACTTATTTTTATATGGAATTATTAATTTTTATACATGAACTACTAAAGACAATTTAATATTATTATGTTCCGTGTACTTATGTGTCCATTCATTTTTCGTTTTTTAACCCAGAAACGAAATACGGAAAATGCATTTTTTCTTTAATGGTTCCAACACTGATGAATAGAATAAGCAGACACAAACTAATTTTCATTATTCAAAATACGTATTTCATTAAAATTCGTAAAAATCATATAAAGCTTGTTTTTTTAATGTAACCTATATAAATGCTCAATTTAATTTCTAGCTTTTTTAGTGTCTCTATACAGACACTATAAACGCCCTCTCGCGTTACTGACGTGGCTTTGGCCTCGATGTTTTTATGATCTGGATAATTTTTCATGCCTGAAAACATGTATGAAATACTCATTACATATTTCTTTGCATTTAATTGTATCCAGGACCGGTTTTACGGGAGTGCTAGAGGGGACAAAACGAAAGCAAGAGCACCTCAGTTGAAGCTGTAGAAATAGGATACTGGCGAAACATATTTTCCAAACGCTCCAGTGTGTATTTGTGTTTGAACTCTGGAGAGCTTCAAAGGTTTCTATTTTCAATGTGTTTTTGTAGCATTGATCAGTGTAGCCAATGACCAACATTTTTTGTTGATTTCTTGAACACAATGGCCAAGCGTTTAAGTTAGAATCCACTCACTGCTGAAAAGAGTTTTGTTCAGTGCTGCACACTCGGGAGTCTCTCATTATAACAAACAAAGTGTAACATCTCACAGCCTAATCTCAGTCAACTCGCATCAGCTAAAGAGAGGGCCAACAGCCTCAATGCTCTTCATGCTACATCGAGTGTGTGTGTGTGTGTGTGTGTGTGTGTGTGTGTGGTTCTGGGTCAATCGGTGAATCTGTATACTCTGCGACAGGGTTGCTCAATTCTGGTGGTCTATCTTCAGAGTTAGTTCCCCGTCTAATCCAACACACCTGAACCAGCCAATCAAACTTCATGGGCTTATTTGAAAATTACTGGCAGGTGTGTTTGAGCAAGACTGGAACTAAATTGTGCAGGAAGCTAGATCTTCCAGGTGTAGATCTGAGCACCCCTGGTGTCCCAGACACATATTAAGTCTCGTCCGATGCTAAAAATGTCTGATCAACAGGCCCATGTGGGATCTGCATGCTTTTTTTTCTCTGCTGAATGGAATTAGAAGTAGTTTTGAAATAACATTTTAAAGGTAAAAATGACCTTTGTTAATGAACTCATGTGTTGTTTCAAATCCCTGAGACTTCATTCTGTGAAACACAAAAGGAGTAGTTTATCAGAATGTTAATGTTGCTCTTTTTCATTCTGGGAAAAAATAAATACATTTTTTTCAGTATTATGCTCACCAAGGCTGCATTTATTTAATCAAAAATAAAGTAAAAAAAACAGAATAACTGTTTTCTATTTGAATGTTTTATAATGTATATTTTGTAATATATATAATTTATCCTGTGATGCAAAGCTGGATTTTCAGCATCATTACTCCAGTCTTCAGTGTCACATGATCCTTCAGAAATCATTATGATATGCTGATTTGGTGCTCAAGAAACATTTGCTTATAATATTTTTGTGGAAACCATGAAACTTTTTTTTTTGATTCTTTGATGAGTAGAAAGTTCATTCAAAAGAGCAGCGTTCATTTGGAACAAAATTTATTTGTAAGAATATAAAAGTCTTTACTGTCACTTTTGAGCAATAAGACCCTTGCAGAATAAAAGTATTTAAATAAATTACCAATATTTTATAAAAATATAAATAATATAAGCATATTACATAATACTAAACCTAATATGTGTTTGAGAAAACATTTCTGTATGTATCTGAGTGATCGGTGTATATGTCTGTCTAAAAAGATATATGGCCATTATCTTCTCTGTGTTTTGAGTGTGTGTGACTTCACAGGACCCTCCAGAGTGTTCAGAATCCCCACGACTAGTGAAACATGTTCCATTAATGCTTTCATTTATCTTGCCATCATTCTCCCCCACTGTTTTTGTTTGAGGTATTTTTATCCCTTGTTCTACCCATCCTGTTTGTTGTCAGAACATATTAAGATAAAAGGCGGTTTTGATGTGTCGCTTTTTGATGTCTTGGCCGACACTTGCGGATCTAATGTAGGAAAGGGAAAAAAGTAGATGGATAAATGGAAGAATGAAGTGTCTTGTCTGTTATCTTCTTGTGTGTTTGTGTTTGTCCAGATCAAAGTGGTTAAGTTCTCCTATATGTGGACCATCAACAACTTCAGCTTCTGCCGGGAGGAGATGGGAGAGGTCATCAAAAGCTCCACCTTCTCCTCGGGGGCCAATGACAAGCTTAAATGGTAAGATGGGGAGGAGCGCACAAGGATTTGCATCTTATTTTAAATTTTTTTTTTCTTGTCAGATAAACTTTATTTAGTATAAAACAAACTCTAGCTGTTGATGTAAAATTCTTTGTTTTTGAGCAGGTGTTTGCGAGTGAATCCAAAAGGTCTGGATGAAGAGAGTAAAGATTATCTGTCACTCTATCTGCTCCTGGTCAGCTGTCCTAAGAGCGAGGTTCGGGCGAAGTTCAAGTTCTCCATCCTTAATGCCAAGGGTGAGGAAACCAAAGCTATGGGTGAGATGTCGATCAAACTCTTAAGAATTCATTTTTTTTTTATTTGGTGAAGAAAGCCGTATGATACCGTATATACCATGCTATTAGCTTCCTTATATAAGTTGTCTTTTGTTTTGTGTCCATCCAGTTTCAACTAAAAATAATTAGCAATTTAAAGGTAGCTAATTTCATTTTCAGGTATTTTATTATTTCTTATATATAAACCATTTTTTTAATTGATTTTCCAGCCAAAATAACTATATAATTTCAGTGATATAAAATTGCTCATACAGTGATTTTTGTCATGCTGTCCACCTCTAATCTAATGTATAATTTGATCTCCTTAAAAACACTGTGCATTAGCAGAAGTAAATTTAATTGCCGCATACTCATCACAATCAGTGTTTTATGAAACATTTATTTATTCAGAGCGTTTTTGCAGACTAGCTCAGTATGGCTTGATTCCTTTAGGGACCTGTAGATCCTACAGACACGGATACCTGCGAAACAAAGTTCATCTCAGAGTGGCATGCCTTTGAAAGTGTGATTGCTCTTGTATTTTCCGTGAAAGTAATAACATTCAACGTGAACTTTTCCCCTTGTAATATTAAATTTGAGGCAGGCGGCAGTGTTTTAATTGAGATTTTATTGGGGCGATGGCCTCGAGGCTGTCCTGTTTGATGGGTGTAAGTGGGTTACAGGGGGTTTGGCCTTCAGTGAAACAGATGGAACAACTTTATGCCTGATTTCACTTTTCTGCCAGTTTTTAAACCAAGTATTATTCATAGTTGGGGGTGTGTTTCTGTAAGGTGGTTTTGTTATTCTCATAGGAAAAATATTTCTGACATCCTGGCGTGGATGTTAAAACCTGGTGAATGTGCATTTATAAAAGCAAAAATAACACATTGAAAAGATCAATATGCATATTATACGAGTATGTGTATGTGTACGTTAGGTCAGTGAACTCTGTAGCTTGCAGGGAGTTTATTGGTACGGAGAAGAAATGGTGCAATAGAAGTGTGTGTGTTTGGTTAGGAGCTTTAGTATACAACTAAACATTCTACTTTTTCCAAACAGTTAAAGAGTTTTTGCACTGTCCAAAAGTTCAAAATTCTGCCAGCATTTACTCACCCAATGTCAAACCCAATGAGTTGTTTTCTTCCATGGAACATGTAATGTCAAATGTAAATGTCAAATGAATGAGGACTGTAGTTTTCAAATTTCAAAATGGGTGCAAAAGCAACAAAAGTGAATGATAAAGTGACTCCATATGTTGTGCATTACAGTATATTACGGGTGTTTTGAAGCCATATGATAGATTTATGTGACGAACAGACTGAAATTTTGGTGGTTCACCGATAATCTTAAATAATCAAATAAAAAAAAGAATCAAATAATGAATTAAAGTTAAGTAATCTTTAACTGCTGCAACTGATCTTGAGTTAAACTCGTGAACCGGATTAGTCTGATTCATGATCATGATTCATTTTTTTATTACCTTTTTTTGTGTACTGAATCAATTGCCAGGTACAGCTGGGGCAAATGTCAAGGTTTTAATGAAATTTTAGTGTGTTCCTTACACAAAGCTATTGTATGGCTTCAGAGGACATGGAATATAGAACACAACATTTAAACCACAGGGTTTCTGTGGGTCCTTAAAAAGTCTTAAAGGGGTCATATGATGCGATTTCAAGTTTTCCATATGACCCCTTTAAATTTAGTTGTATCAAATTTAAGGCCATAAAAAGGCTTAAATTGAACAAAGTCTTAATTATGATTTCAAGAGGTCTTAAATTTGGGGACAAGCTGCTGCGCTGGTTTGTGTTCTGCTGTTACCAGGGAAACCGCAGTATTTCTGCCGCTTCAAAAGCGCCTCCTGCTGGTAGAGCTGCTGTTTTTGATCGGACCAATGTGAAAATCAACCCATGTGGCTTTACGCTGCAAACACGCAGTGTTGTAAATGTGAACTGGTGGATCAACAAATCGTAAACGATTAAGACAGTAAAATATATTTAATTAATAGTTGATTGATAATAGTTGTTTACATTAATAATTGATAGCTTTTCCTTACGAAAATTAACCATGGTTTTACTATAGTAAAAGTGTAGTAACCATGTTTTTTTTTTTTAGCATATTGACTACCATTTGTATAACCATAGTTTTACAAAAAAAAAATACCATGGTTAAACTATGGTTAGTGTCAGTGGTGGAAATGACCAAAATTCACTTTTGGGGTAATTTTTAGACGACCTTTTAGATTTAATTAATTATAAAAACATTTTTTTTTTAGCATATTGACTACCATTTGTATAACCATAGTTTTACAAAAAAAAAATACCATGGTTAAACTATGGTTAGTGTCAGTGGTGGAAATGGCCAAAATTCACTGGGGGAACTCTAAGTTGGGGTAACTTTTAGACGAACATTCAGATTTATTTAATTATAAAAACCGTTATAATCTATAACATTAAACTTATTTCATGTTTCCTCTAAACCATGTGTTTTTTAGGTATCAAGATCAAAGGCACCCCTTGTAATTATATTTATAAACTTTTTTTTTGTTAATTATAACAATACATTCACTTAGTATAATATCCCACTCGCGGTACACTACGGTTTAGTGGGACTGCTCAGCGCTCGTTAAGAGTTGATCAACATAATTGCATTCATTAAAAAGCTGAGATTCTAAGCTTTAAAATGATACATATTGTGTGTTATTCCATTCAGGGGTTGCTTAGTAATTTGATTATGAATTTTTTCGTGCGGGAGGCGGGACACCTTGGGCTTAAAGGGTTAAAATAAGTTCTGAATATAGAAATATTAAATTATTTAAATAGGTGGCGGCAAGTCACTCAATCATTCAGTCAGTTGATTGTTTCAAACAGCTGATTCATTCAGGAACGAAGCAAGTGACTGTTCAAAAAGATTAATTTTAAAATGCTTATTATTATATATTGTGCTACGTTTATGTGCATAGGCTATTGAATTAATAAAACATAGAAATCCCTTTAATTTCCCAAAAAATCTAACCAGTTGGAGCTGGAACGTCGTACCCTCTCGAAATTCACTCCCTGGACTCCGTCCCCCGCGTTCCCCCTATTTCCAGCCCTGGTTAGTGTAGCGAAACCATGTTTAATTTGTGGTTACCATGGATTAACTAACCATAGTTTTTTTTTTTCTTTCTTAAAAATGGTTTAAAGGCTGAGATGTGGTCAACTTTTTGTTTTTGTGAAGACTTGTATCTGAACTGTAAATCATGGTTTTTACAATCATTTTACCGTTTAATGTTACCATAGATACTGCCCTTCCCTGCTTATATGGTATTAATTTTATTTGTGCAGGTCTTAAAAAGTCTTAAATTTGAGCTTTAAAATCCTGCAGAAACCCTGAACCACATTTTGATGCTTAAATGCGTTTTGTTTTTGTCATTTTACAGCCTGACGGCTCTAGTCTTCATCCACTTCTGTTATATTGAAAGAATGTCAAGGATATTTACCTTTTGTGCTGGACAAAAAAAAAAAAAGATTTGGAAATAAAGTAAATGATGGCAGAACTTTGATTTCTGGGTCCTTTAAAGCTCTCCTCACCAAATCTCTGCCCGTGTGTATAAGGGACATACAGTAAATGCTTTCTCTTATCTTTGTTTACAGTGAACTGTAATTCACTAAAAACAATGTTTTATAGTACTGTACAAACAATAAATGCATATTAGCATTGAAAACAAATGTTCTTCAGCATTTGTTTTATACAAGCCTGTATTAGATGTTATACAAAAGGTAGCAAGCTCCGTGTGGCCTGGAGAGATGAAACTGAGGTGCGAACAGCAGTCACACTCTCATCTTTTTGAAGAATCTCACATATGGGCAGAGAAACGGGAGCGAAAGAAAGAGAAAAGGGTGCCAGATTGTGGCAACGAGATGAGATGAGAGGTTGAACAACCCCGTCTCTCATTTTCCAATTTTCTCATTTCCTGCACCTTAATGGGCGAGAAGGCACTCCTTGTGTTTTGCCCCACCCTCCCCCCTCTCCTCCATCTCTTTCCTCCACTCAGCGTTCTCTCCATTTACCGCCCCTCCGGAATTGGGGAGGGGGGTGACATGCTTGGGGCGTCCCCGGAGACGTGGGAGTGCCGACAGCCACTGTACATTGATGGGGAGTTTTTTTAAAGCGGGACGGAGGATGAAAATATGGCAGCAGAAATTGCTCTATCGGTTCTGGATCATTTAGAATCCAATTTAATCCTGCCCGAGGTGGAGAGAGAGAAATAAAAACAAAGTAAAGTGCTTTAATTAAGAGGGCTGTGAGAAGGCACTGGGACTTTGCAGCATGACTTGTGTTTACAGAGTCAGTCATGGGCATGACGATGAACAAATAGAGGTGCCGAGGAACCTGTTCCTCTCTGATGATCAGTGATCAGGTTTGCCGGACATATGAAAGGAATATTTAAAATTATGCCACATTATATATGCCTTCAGTTTGTCACAGCAATAAACATCTCTTCCTATGTGCTTTTGCTAATCAGAAGTACATTACTGTTTAATAATTAAAAGTTAATTTAATATTAGTTAATTCATTACAGATTATGAAATAATTAACTTTTTATAAATATACTATCGATTGTTGTTAATTCAACTGTCACATTTTATGTTTAACTTGAAATATTAAAAGTCAACTGTATGTGCAGAAATTAAGATAAACCTATATTATTAAATGCTGTAAAAGTATTATGTTATAGTGTCCTTTATAGGTATTTTTTATAATAAATAAAAATAATAAAAAGTAGAAACAGAACAGAGAGTGCTGGTGTTAGGTGGTCAAGCTTTTGTATAATAAAAGAAAACGAGTAGATAGAAAAAAATAAAATATATTTTAGACTTGCTGAGAATTAGTTCATATAGATGAATTATTCTGTTTTCAGATCTCTCTCTCTTTTTTTGTGAACAGGCTTTTAGAAATTGAGATGCTGAAGGTCAGAGGCATTGGGCTAATAAAGAAACGAAAGATTCACACAGCTGTAGATT